TTCTACGAAAGAAGGTTTTAGGGTTTCAAATATCTGGCTGAATGTGAAGAGTTTGTTACATCAACGGATTTCTAGACTGATAATTCGATGTCAATGGATCCTACATAGTCCTCGATGTTTTAAGTTGAATTTTGATGGTAATTCTGGGAAACCCAAGACATGCTGGTTTTGGTCATGTGATTAGAGATTATCAGGGTGTAGAGATAATCATTTTTTGTGGAAATCAAGTAGAAATGTTATATATGCTTCAAGGTTCAAAGCTGTTAAAGGATCGTTGTGATCAATTCGCATGGTTGGTGGAATGGGATTCTCTTAATGTATCAACTCAATGTCTAGATCTAGTAAAGCCACCTTAGAGCTTGAAAAGGTTTTGATCGGAAGCTTTGGATATTTGTCACAATAAAGTAGTGGCTTTCAATCATGTTTTTAGGGCAGTGAATGAGATGGCAGAGTCGCTGGCTAAGGATGAAATATTAACTTCATCTTTGATGATCAATTCCTTATCCTTTTAATTGTTGTGTTTATCATCTCTTCAATGTAATTGTTGGGGTGATTGAGTAATAAAATCATTGTGATCTTGTAAAAAAAAAGAGTTTGGAATTCAAAATTGACATAAAATAACATTAAATGACAAATAAAATAAGGAATTAAAGCCAAGACAGTAATATTAAGATTAATACAAATTACAAATATGAAAACGAAGTACTTATATCAGATAGAAACTACACTAGCAAACCACACCAGCACACCAATCTTCTAAACACTAAACACATTTAAGACCTTTTTACAATCTGTGAGAGAGAGAGAGAGAGAGAGAGAGAGAGAGAAAGACAGATAGATTGAGGAGAGAAGACTGAGTGAACTCTTCCCCTGCGATGTCTTCTCCAGAGGCGGAGATCCTCCTCTTATAACCTCGGACTTCAAATTTCTTTTAGTCTAGTTTTATTCATCTGGGAATGTCGGTCCATCTATAATCTTCTACGTGGAAAGGTGAAGGATAGTGATTGTCGGTAGTGTCGGTGATTGTTGCCACGTAGAAAGTTTAAGAATAATATCCTTTGTCCTTTTGATTTTTGTCGGTAAGATATGAGCCGTAGGATGAAAAGTTTTTACTTTAGTAAAAGTATTTTGGTGGGCCACGTGTCCTGGAGTTTGGTGGAGTTGTTTCGGCCCATTAATTGAGTGGTGGCAAAATTCCAGCACTATCATCTTCATTTTGATCTCTATCGTCTTTGCTTATAAATATGAAATCTTCTTCATCGTCAAACATAGATAGTAGCTTTTTTCAAAGCCCTTCCTTTGATAATTTAGGATTTTCGAATTGTATGAGCCTTAAATATGAGGCAGTACCAGTCGGTTGATCAAGTCTTGGTGTATTAACCTTGATCTTAATAATTTTGATAGTTTCAAGGATTAAGTCTATGATATCAAAGTTGTCCCACCATTTTATTTATACATTTCTTTCTAGATGGTGAATATAGTCCCAATTTTCATCATCTTCGGTAATGGAATAGGTTTATCTGAGTATCCATGGGATTTCATATAAAGTGGTAAAACGGATTAATATTTCAAGTTTCGACCAATTTTTATTAGCTACCTGGAATTTAGACAATGAACATTGTAAAGGTTTAGGATCAATATCTGGGGCAGAACCTCAGTATAACATCCATTTTTTGAACCATGAAGGAATTTCTTGAAGGGCTTCATTAAGCTTGAACATGATAAACCAACTAGGGGTACTCTGCTTATTTTGAAGTAATAGAGTCTTTTCCCATGCTTCAATATAATCATAATAATTGTAACTCTTGATTTTAGAGTAGCTTTGTTTAAAATATCGAGGCTTAAGGGGATCAAATCCCCAGTCCTTGTAGGCCAGAATTTTCTTTATTCTAAATTTAGGATAAGCAACAATATTATGTCCCCTGTATCTCCGGATGATTTATACGGATCATGTTTCCTTTATGATTGTTTCGTAAAAGAGTTGTGGTTTGAACTCATCTCTTAGATGCATATGATTGACTAGAGAACTTTTTACGATTTCATCTAGATTGAGATGAAGGTGAATTTTATCAATTGTCATAATAGGGAGATATGATTTTTCCCAATATTTTGAATTTTCAGTAGATTGTATTAAGTCTTTAGATGTAGTAAGACTATTTTCTTTAAGGTTGACCTGTCTTGAGGTCTCGCCTGGAATTTTCGTCAGTTCTTTTCCCTTGGATGCCCTGTAGGAATTCTCGTGTTAAAAAATCAAGTAAAGAGTTAGTATTTCTGACAATATGTTGGATATGAAAATCAAAGCTGGCTAGTATGGCCTATCATCTTGCAAATATATGTTTTGATACGAAGATTTTAACATCTTTGGCTGCTTTGCAGCCTGTTCTGATTAAGAACTTTTGATTAAAACTATCATCTTCAAATTTTAAAACACAACAAACAATAGAGAGGATTTCTTTTTTTATTGTAGAATAATTTTTTGAGTATCATTCCACTTTTGAGACATAAATCTTACTAATTGTTCATTTTTTCAATCAAACATTTTTTGCTTTAGAATAGCTCCAAAACCAATTTCAGACGCATCAATTTCTATAATTTTGAAAGCTTTAAGATGTGGAATTGCAAGATATGGTAGTTCTTTTGCTTTAAGCTTTATTTTACGAATAGCTAAAGTATGTTTTCCCCCCCATTCTGGAGAAGTTTTTTTTAGGTGGTCATAAAGTATAGCACCGTCTTTTGCAAGATTTTTATAAAAGACATAAATATAATTAAGACTTCTCAAAAATCGTTGTAATTGGGCTACATCCTTAATTTCATTAAGAAAATGTTATGCAAAACTGATTGCCCTACCTATGGGGATGGTAGAATGGTTATGGATATTGTGACTTAAAAATCAAAATTTTGTTTGAAATAATTGAATTTTCTTTCCAGATAGGGCTAGTCCTACACTTTTAATTACCCGCTAAAAGATTGTGAGATGTTTCCAATGTTGCTATATTGATCAGAATAAATTAACACATCATCAATATAAACAATCATAAATTGGGTGAATGGTGTGAATATATCATTCATAATGTGTTGGAATTAAGAGGGAGCATTCTTTAATCCAAATGGCATTACATTTCACTCATAATGTCTAAATGGTACAGTAAATGTGGTTTTATATCTATATTTTTTTGTAATTTGAATTTGTCAGAATCTAGATTTCATATAAAAATTTGAAAATATTTGTGCTTCATAAAGTTGATTAAGTAAATCCCTCTTACTAAGGATTGGATATCTAATCCATCTCAAGATTTTATTTAAAAGCTTATAATTAATAACAAGTCTTGATACTCCTCTTTCTTTTTCAGAGGCTTTTTCAATATAAAAAGCTAGACAACTCTAGGGTGAATAAGAGCTTCTAAGTTTCTTATTAAAAAGATCTTGGATCTCTTTTTTACAAATTTCTAAGAGGCGGCTATTCATTTGAATAGGCCTTGATTTTGTAGGGATGAATTTTTCATTGAAGTCAGGCTCGTAAGGTAATTCAGCAATATTTTTTTTTCTTTCCCTAAAAGCATTTGGGATTTTAGCACAAATTTCCTTTACAAGCTTGTTTTTAAATTGTACAATTTTGTCTTGGACTAAGGGGCTGTTAATCTTTTCTTGTATTTGTTTGGTTAATATATCGTGTTTAAGCGTATGGAGGAAAGATTCTTTATTTCTTTTTAAAACCATAACTTGATTGATTTTTTTTAGTTTTGGTTTGTCAATAAATTCAAACTTAACTTTATGACCTTGGATCTCAGATTAAATTCCTGAGGAGTCTATAGATTTTATGGGATAAAGAAGACTCAGGAAAGAAGTTCCTAAAATTATTTCTTGAGCTAGACCTTTTACCATAATAAATGGCATCAAGAAACAAGCTCCATTGTTGCAAACAACAGCTTCGGAAAGCTTATAATTGATAAAAAAGTCTTTTGCCATTAGCAGTATTTAAGACTTGAGTGGTCTTATCGAATAATCTTGACGAGATAATGTCAACACAATTGAGATCAACACCTGAATCAATGAGGGCTATGGCTGAAAAACTGTATTATTTGGAGACAACAATTGTAACTTTGGTATGCCATTTTTTAGTAATAACTTTATTTATCATGTTAATGTAATTTAGCTGTTTAAGATCAATTTTTTCAATTATGTTAACAGTCTCATCTTCATTTTGTGTATTCTCAAATTCATTTATTAGATTATCAAGTGATTGGAGATTTTCTAAACCAGAAGTCTCAAGAATAGTAATTCTATTGTTATGAGCTTGCAATTCTTCTTTTAAATTTCTTATTTTAAACCTCAGCTCAGAAATAGTAGTCTCATTTTAGAGATTATTTATTTTTTATTGACTCTATCAATTATTTATTTGAGATCATAAGTAGGTTTAAAGAGTCCATGAATTGTCTATGTCTACTATCTCTTAAGCATAAGATGTTAGCAGTTTGAAGCCCAACCCTGGTTAAAGGTCTAATACCAACTTGAACAAGATCAATATGAAGATAATTATATTTTTTTCTCTTAAATTCTTCAATACAATATTCGTTTAATAAATTTTTGGTAGTCTCAATATGTAAGATAGATTTGGTTTTTTCTTCGATTTTGATTGCATAATCACTTTTGAATTTAAAAGTTCTTTTAGTATATATTTCAGAAGTAAAGACCTTAGGGATCTTTTCAATGTAACTGTTGGGGTGATTGAGTAATAAAATTATAGTGATCTTTTCAAACAAAAGAGTTCTACATACAATGACGTTCAAACAAATCTAAAAATACTTGAAAGTCTTGAAAATAGACAGTACAGATAATATGTTAGAAGATGAAACTCTTGGTTTTTTTTTTTAACGTCTATGAATCTTGAGGCTGATTCGAGGGATTTCCATCACAAAAACAACCTTCTCTAAGTCCACCTTATAATTTTTTTCCTATTTAAATAAATGAACCAATGTCCATTCATTTCTTTGGCACCACGTTCCGTGAACGGTCGAACCAATGTCCATTCATTTCTTTGGCACCACGTTTCGTCAACGGTCCAAATCCAAGGGAGCAAATGCGCAGTTCGTTCCCGTTACACTGTTTTTGTTTTTTTAAAGCATTTCTTCTTCCATTGCTCACCGCAGTGGGCGGCGCTTAACTTCTGAGTCAAAACCCTAGAGCTGCCCGAAGCAAAACCCTAAAAAGATTCAGAGCTTGTGTTCCTCATACGCAAGAAACGAGTGAACTGCAACAGAGGCTCTGAATCTTCTCTCCATTCCATCCAAACAACACCCTATACTCAGTATTCTAAAGCTTCACATCATAGCAGTTTTCCTTCAATTCGCGAGGTCCATCGGTACCTATCCGAGCTCCTTTCGTTCAATTTTGAGGTCAATCGGAACCTATCCGAGCTCCTCTCTTTCTAATAAAGAAAAGGCCCCAGCCATGGAGGAGGTTTGTGAAGGCAAGGATTTCTCATTCCCTAAACACGAGGAGAAGATTGTGGCCTATTGGGAAGAGATCAAAGCTTTTGAGACTCAGCTCAAGCTTACAGAGAATATGCCTGAATACATTTTCTATGACGGCCCTCCATTTGCTACTGGTTTACCTCATTATGGCCACATCCTTGCTGGTACTATCAAGGACATTGTTACCAGATACCAGTCGATGAATGGCTACCATGTGACTAGAAGATTCGGGTGGGATTGCCATGGATTGCCTGTTGAACATGAGATCGATAAAAAGCTTGGAATTACGAGCAGGAATGATGTTTTGGAAATGGGGATTGACAAGTATAATGAGGAGTGTCGAAGTATAGTTACTCGCTATGTGGGAGAGTGGGAGAAGGTGGTTTCAAGGACTGGAAGATGGATTGATTTCAAGAATGATTACAAAACAATGGATTTGGAATTTATGGAGACAGTTTGGTGGATATTTGCTCAGCTTTGGGAGAAGGATCTGGTATATAGGGGTTTCAAGGTATAGTTCATTTGTTGTTGGTTTGATTTTTCTCTAATTGTTTATTACCCGTTGAATTGGGTTTGATTTTTCCGATTCTTTACTCTTCATGTGCTTTAGGGTTATATGCATTTCTATACGCGCTGCAATGCATTTTACATTTCCTTTGATAACTAAATTTGTTTTAGGCACAAGCAATTTGGAGAGCTAAAATATCGATAATGAAAGTGTTTTAGGCACATACAATGTGGAAAGCCGAAATTTTGAGAGTTTCAATTGAATGCACCAATAAGAACTGGGCAGGACCTTTGCTCTCTCTCTCTCTCTCTCTATCTCTCTTTTAAATCAGTAACTCTGCAGGACCTGTTGTTGCATGCTTGTCATTTCTAACTTTTGAAACCAGTGGATGTTGGCCTTAGTTTATCTAATTTATCATGTTGTAATCCATGCGTTCACATGGATTTTTCAATATTCTTTACACCACCTTTACTGTCTTGATTTTATTTTGACATATATATTGACTGGCTTGACATGTTCATGTTTCAGGTTATGCCCTACAGCACTGGGTGCAAAACACCACTTTCAAACTTTGAATGTGGGTTGAACTATAAGGTAATGCTATGCTTTTATCTCTTGTTATTTCTAAATTGATCTTTATGCTTTTATGTCCCATTAACATATATAATCATTACAGAATGTTCATGATCCATCATTAATGGTGGCTTTTCCGGTAATTGGCGATCCTGATAAAGCAGCTATTGTGGCATGGACCACTACACCTTGGACTCTACCAAGTAACCTTTGCGTTTGTGTCAATGCAAATCTGACCTATGTAAAGGTCAGTGTTTATGTTCTTCATTGTGATACTAGCTTATGTGATATTATAAGCCTCATTTTCATTTCTTATAGAGTGATTTAGCAGTGTAGGAAACTACGACTCGTGGACGGAACTCCGCCGTGGGTTGAACCCGAGTAACCGGAGTAACTCAGGCTGAGTTTCAAGTTACTTGGCTCGAGTTGGGTAGTCTGGCCAGGCCAAAAAGTGTTAAAAAGAATAAAAAATACAAAACAAATCCCAAAAAATATGGAAAATATGTTTAAAGTAAAAAAAAATCTAAATGAAAGTAAAAAAGTAGTGAAAAAAATGAATTTGAAAAAAATCAAATTTTCACCAGGGGTATTTTAGAAATAATAAAAAAAGGAAAATGTAAAAATATTTATTCATTGTTAAAATACTTTCCAATCTTTTTGCCAAAATGATAGAAAATATAAAAAAACCATATTACATATAAATTTATTTATTTATTTTATATTTTTTGAATTTTTTTTAATATCCCCAAGCTTGAGCACCAAATTTGCTCGGCCTCGCCACCTGGCTACTTGGGCGAGTCCCGGTTGGCTCCCCTGAGTAGTCGAACACTGTGATTTAGCACTGTTATCCAGTTGATAAAGAATACTACTGTAAGCAAGCTGAATACTAGCAAGAGAGGAAATGAAATAGTTGTCATGCGCTTCTAAAATTTCGAAATGGAAAAAGAAGGTCTATAATTGGTGTATGCTTTTTATTCTAACTTTTATTCATCTGTTTAGAGAGCCCTATGTTGTCTTTTTCATAGAGAATCGATGACTTAATATTAAGTATTCTTACAAAAACCCACGAGTTGTGGGCTTAGGCATTGCACAGACTGTGTGCTTAAACCGTAAAACCAAAAAATAAGTATAAAATATTTGGGGGAGAACGGGAAGTTAGAGAATGAAAAGGAGGGGGCTAGCGGGGCTGTGGCTTGAAGGTTTGTACCAGAGAACTCTGGGGTGAGGAGAGCCATTCTTGTAACTCCTTGTTTTGGGACAGCCAAATCTGAGGTACTTGACCAATGAGTGCTGATCTGTGGCGCTGACGAGAGAGCTTGGCAAAGGGCCATATTTGCTCTTGGGATGACCCATGGTTTCGGGGAGGAGCAATGAGTGGATTAAGGTTCTTTTGTCTAACTGTGATTGTTGCTTGGGAAGGTTTTCTGATCTGAAGGTTGAATTAAATGCTTGTAACTGTGGTAGAGAGGTGTAGTTGAAGGTGTGAATAGGAGAGGCTTGGCTCAAAACCTTCTCTGGCTGGCATAATGAAGACATTCTAGGAGTAAAAGACAGCAAGGGAAAGCCTATGTTAACTTCCCTCTCTCCCCTTTCCCTCTTCCCAACAAGGGAGAGGAGGGAAACTAACTGATTATGGAAAGGAGGAGGCAAAGTAGAGGAAGCTGTAGATCAATGGGGAGACAGGAGCCATGGGATAAGTTGTTCCTCTTTATCAAACATCCAGTTCTATTGCTTGTCGGAATCATTTCTGCTTGTTTTAGTTCCTTACATTTTCTTTAGCTTGAGGCTTGAGTTCAAGATACTTAATTTTGGTTTTGGGATTAGGGGCATAATGTGTAAAAATTCAAGGTCGTCCGGAAAATCAGTATATACTTTACATTCACAACATCTAATATGGGACCGATGGTATGATTCCAAACAAGTATGATACCGCCCTGGTGGTTAAGTTGATAGGCTAGAGTGATGGTTAGGGTTTAGGATGCTAGATTAGATTTATGGTAAGGCTTGCGAGAAACAAAGATCAAGATTGGAATAGGTGCCCTTGGGTTAGGAGAACTAGAGTTAGGGTATGCAAGATGACATGCAAGTTTGGATGGGTTTAGTGTTTGGTTGAGGAAGGATGTGAATTTAGGATTAGTGTGGTTCTTTTTGGTTTGGAAGGTTCGGAGATACATGGCTTAATGTAAGTTAGGTTTAGTTTTATGAATCAGTAGATGATGGCTGACTGTTATGGAAAATAGGGGATGGTTGTAAGATATAAAGATGGAACTAGGATTTAGTAGGGAGATGGAAGTTGGCTGAGTTGTCAGGAGTTTGGGGTTGGGGTAGATGGTACTTGATGGTGGATGGCATAAAGTTCGAATCAGGAAGTGCTGTTGATGGGGTGTTAGATTGTGAGGGATGAGATTAACTTTTGAGGACGGCATGTTTAGTACTAGGAGTTGGGGTGGTTTGATGAGAAGGTTGGTTTGGTTATGGAACGAGAGTAAGGATGATGTAGGTAGGTGGTTAGGGTGAGATGGATAAGAAGTGTGGGATGAGATAGGTGGGCTCAGATTTGGTGATTGTGACGCATGGCTGGTTTGAATGAAGTGACAGTGTGCTCCATGAATGGGTTAAAATATGGAATGGGGGGAAGGCTAAGAATGGGTGTCAAGTAATTAAAAGAAGGGGGCCCTATTTATTATATGGAATCTACCATTGTTCAAAAAAGCGAACCGCCCAGCGCCTAGGCGGTCCAGAAGGCCTGGGCGCATTGCCTAGGCCTAGGCGGTCAAATTGGGCGGTCCGTCCTTGAGCGGCTGCCTAGGCGGTATGGAACCCGTCTAGGCGGCCACCCAGGGCCTGCACCCCGCCCAGAGGCTGAAAAAAATGAATTTTTTTGTTTGTTTTGTTATTTTGAAAGATTTAAAGGTTAAGAATGATGGCTTTTAGGTTCATTTGAACTCTAAACCCACAAGAAGCCCCTTCAGATTAAAAAAAACTCCAAAAAACTACATTTCATTGGATCGATCATCAAATCATCGAAGTGTTTCTCAAAGTTTGGAGTTCAAGCAACCAAAGTAAGTGCATTTTTTAGATTGCTTGCTTTATTTTGAGATGTCTTCTTCAGGAGGTAGTCAAAGTGGAGATCCGGTTTGGAAATATGGATACAACCCGAATCCAAATGACAAAAATTGCGTTAGATGCAATATTTGTGAAAAAGATACAAAATGAGGCATAAATCGGTTTAAGAAACATCTTACCGGTATTAAGGGGGATGTTACCCCTTGTAAAAATGTTCCTGAAGCTGTCAGAGAGGAGATTAAGCAATTTTTAAGTTATGTAAAACAGAAACGAGAACAAAATCCTTGTCATAGATCTATTTCTGCTACTCCTAGAAAAAGTGATCCGGGTTGGAAGTATGGGTATAATTCAAAACCAAATGATAAAAATTGTATAAGGTGTAATTTTTGAGAAAAAGATACCAATGGGGGTATTAGCCGATTCAAAAAACACCTTGCTGGTGTTAGAGGCAATGTTGTTTTTATACAAAGGTTCTTGAAGCAGTTCGAGATGAGATTAGACATCTTTTGAATTTTGAAGAACCAAAAAAGGATGAAAATAAGCCTTGTTCTATGGAAGTGTCTTCTCCAGCTTCTAGTCGTTGGAGTGGTGATCCGGGTTGGAAGTATGGTTATGTCCCGAATCCAAGTGATAAAAATCATATTAAATGTAATTATTGTGAAAATGATACTAATGGGGGCATTTACCGGTTTAAAAAACACCTTGCCGGTATTACGGGGGATGTTGTCCCGTGTAAAAATGTTCCTGAGGCTATCAAGGAGGAAATTATACAATATTTGAGTTCAGAGAAGCACAAAAAGAAGGGTACAACAGCCAAGACTCCTAGGGCTCATCTGCACAAATTACACATATTAGTAAGAGGAAGGTAGAAGAAGAGGAGGAGGAAGAGGCAGATTTAGAAGAAACAGAGGAGGATGAGCGTTATATTGAAGAGGGAGATGACTCTGATGATGATGGCCTCGACTCTGATGCATATGATGAGGCTTACGCTATTCCTTCTGTTGATGATGATGATGATGATTGAAGACTCTTGCCTCTTGGTGCTGAGTGTTGAGTCTGTTGACTATTGTGTTGAGTATGTTGACTGTTGTGTAACTTGTGTTGAGTTATGACTCATGTGTGTTGACTTTTGTTAGACTGTATATTTTCTAAATTTCTGTATATTTATGTTGTGTTGGGTGTTGACTTTTATATCACTTGTATGGTTTTACAGTTTACTGTTTTAATAATGTGGATTAACAAAATTCTCTTCTCGACTTCTATTTTTTTTTTTTGGTCAAGTTGTATTGTAGAAATACGGTATATTGGGATTTTTATTTTTTTTCAATTGGGCAGCCGCCTAGGCGCTAGGCGGCCTGGACCCCCCAGGCCGCCTAGGACTCGCCTAACCCTTTTTAATATATTGGAATCCACCATACAATTATTATGATTTCTTAAATCCCTTGGAAAGAAACTTGAAGGCAAATAACTTCGAGAAGAAGTTGGACTTCAACATCAATGCCAAGTTTTTTTTTTCAAAGTCGAGCTCTCTAATTCGTCCAAGAATGACTCCGAAGACAAAAAATGACCAACTTAAACAACCTATTTCAACTATGAAAGTACCATTTTCTGGATAACAAATACAGAAAGGAAATCTAAGCAACTTGGAAACTAAAGAGGTAAAGAAAATACTATAGTAAACCGAATGCTCAAAAAGACGGATTCGGACGCCTAGGTGGTTTCGGTGCCTGGCCTCCTAGGCAAGTGTCCGGAGACAGAGTACCATCACCACCACTCACCCCAAACATCGTCCAAGTGAGAAAAAAATTCAATTAATCACCAAAAAAATCAATCTTTTAACTACAAATATAAAAATATATCGTAAAAGAAAAAAAAAAAAAGTAAACGAAAAAACACATGATTCATAACATAATATGTTGTAGTAAAATAAAATCAAAACCCTCAAATATGATAATATTTTAAAAATATCAAAATCAAATCGATGTCAATGCAAAACTTGTCTATTGGGCCACCAAAAGTTCTCAAAATCAACTATTAGAAGCTCCAAATCCACCTACAAACTATTGCCTTCGATTTGGGAAGAAATCGAAAAAATAAAAAATTTATCGATCTTTCGATAAATCACAAAAGAGTGGTTTCTGTGGGGTTTTTTTCACCCTAAAGGCTACGGATTTTCTATTGGGGGTTTAGAATACTCCCTAAAACTCTTTCCCCCCCTTTTTAGGGAGAAAAATTACATTTTTTATTGAACATTGACTGTTTATTGACCCACGTGGACATTGACTCTTTATTGGACTTTCAGAGAGCACGACCATTCTCTATTGGTTCTTCTAAAAGGGCTTGCAGCCCTTGGTTTGGCCCTTATTGGTGGGCGTGGACGCCATGCCATCCATATTATAGGATTTTTAACCTCATCACAAGGGGCCCCTCTCTCCAAGTTTGCAGAAATACGACTGTTTTGTCTGAACAAATTCTTTGGGGCTTTTTTTCCCATTGCTAGTTGGATGTCATCATCCATCTTGTTTGTGTGAATCCCTCCAGGTGTCTCCTCGCGTGATGGAGAGGGAGGTGTCTTTAGTGCTTCCTCTGCTCGAAGATGGCCAATGCCTTTAGCATAAAAGTGACACATGGTCTATGTTACAATGAAAGAGTTGAACCTTGAGGTCTCTTACCTTGTTTTGTGTATGTGATGATGGGTGGCTATGTGATGCTCATATAATTCAATAGTTGACTATTGTCCTTGTAATATTGTTTCTATCTTGCTAGACTAATATGAGCAATCTTTATTTTCACTATGGAAGACAACTGGAATATCTATTTATAGTTTCAACTGCTTGCAACTTTTAAAATAACAACTTTTGTGGATCAATTTTCTCTTTACCCTACAGTATTTATATGCAAGCTTGCATACCTATAAAAACTTGCTACGCAAGTGATTTCGTATTGGTAAGAAGTGTGAATCTATAATCTTGACCTTGAGAAACGAATGCATTCATTTTGCGATTTGGTGTATTAGGCCATAAAGGGGGAGAGTATTTTCTTTTTGATCAATATAATTGGAGAGAAAATTCCCATGGGGACGTGAAAATTACAGTGACTATGATCCTTGAAAATTTCCTTGTGTAATTTGGGGTTTCTTTTTTGAAGTATTTATATATTATGTCCACTGGAGGATGCATAAGTTAAGCTTCTCCTCATGGATTGTGATTTCACTAATGCTTGCTTCGTGCAAGGAGTTTCACAAGAAGTTTGGGAAAAGTGAATGCTAAGAAGGGGATAAATATTAATTTTATTTTAAAATTTTGAGTTTGAAAAACTTGTTTAGTGTTAAGTTTGGTGATAGTCCACTATGCTCTTATGGTATCTTTGGACCACCACTTTTCTCCTCTCATCTTTTTGGTTTATCTTCTTTGCATTTAATGGTGCTTAGGTCCTGGTTGCGGGTTGCCTCACCTTTATTTTTCCCTCTGCTTCCATGGGCCATGTTCTTTGGTACTTGGCATGACCCTCTATCCAAGTGTCTCTTGCCCTCCTTCACCATTTGACACTTATCTAGCTTCCCATTAAAATATAAATTATCTAGTATAAAAACCTTGGTGAAGAGAGAGAGCATTAAGAGAGTCGTACGAACTTGGAAGCGGATGGCCAAAAAGGAGGAAACCAGGGACTCGTGAAGAGGGGTTGTGAGGCTTTTATATGAACAATGAACTCATAGATGTTAGCCATGGAGTTTCATAATTCTTAGAGTGAGATCAGCCCTTTTGCTGTGACATTTTTGCGAGCTTCGGAGCATGCAACTTAGTAACCCAGGAAGACATTGATCTGACTGTATTTTGGGGGTGTGTTCACCATATACCCTATTGCATCTCGGATTTGTATCGGGTAGGGGGTGATCAATACTTCGAAGAAAGAGAACTCCTCTCGTGCCTCCAGATGCCTAATTTTCCCACTTTGTTTAACCACCGAATCTAGCTTCGATTTCTATGGGAATCCGACTGGTACTAGGAGTGTTTCAATTTCGTGATATAATCTCCGAATCCGGCTCTGATTCCTATGAGAGTCCGACTGGAATTAGGAGCGTTTAGGCATTTTTCAGGCATTATCCCGATCAAGGGGAGTTGTTGCTGAATTTTTCCAGGATTAAAGATAGGGAATAGTCGTATTGGGCGTCGGTTATACTTTTCGGATGTCAGCCAGACTATCGTGCGTTAGTCAGGTGTCAGTTAGACTTATCGAGCGTGCGTCGACTGTACGCCAAGCTATCAATTGTGTGTTACGCTATCGACTGTACGCTAAGCTATTGACTATGTGTTAGGCTATCGATTGTACGTTAAGCTATCGATTGCGCTTTAAGCTATCGACTATGCATTAAGCTATCGACCGTGCTTCAGGGTTATTGACCGTGCGTCAAGCTGTCACCAAAAGAAAACTAACAATAGAATTGTTGATGGATGAAATGGTGAAAAAGGTTTTTAAATGATCTACTTTGAGATTTAGGAAAGAGAGGGTGGGGGAATTATTTGGGAGTGTGGTACTCAAAGTTAAAGAATCTCCTTTTCGAAATGAGTGAATAAAATCTCTAATGAGTGAATAGAATCTCCTTTTTGACTCTGAAAATTTTTTGAGCCTACTTGACTCTCCTATTTATGGAGTTTCATAATTGAAAATCTAAGGATGCACCCATTTTGGGTATATATCATCTTTTTCATTGTTTTGACATATAATTGCATTTTCTGTTGTGGTGATACTGTAGGCGTTTTTTAAGAATATAATAATGTGGCTTGACTTGGTGACACCCTGTGATCAAATCCCATTCCAAACACTTTTTTGTTAAGTAAATAACTCATCCGGGTTTTTCTGAATTAACTGTTTAACTTGGTGAGTGGCCTTGGTTTTCGTAATGCCTAGTCAGCTATTGAGTTCCCTAGTAGAATGTAGTCAAATAATTTGTAGCAGAGATGGTTATATTATTGGGGGACTGGGATGCAACTCCCTTGTGATTGACTCTGTATATTCAAAATGTTGTGTATCAATTTAGGGTTAAGAAACAATTCATATGTGGTTAGTCTGCATTGCATGCTTGAAAGCCTTCACCCATAGCCTTCATATTCATCTTTGTGGGATAACTTCGTTTATGCGATCGTTGGATGTAATTTTTCCTTGCCTCTTGTATTGTTTTTTCCCTGCTTCATGTTATTTGCATTTAAATTTCACGGGACATATTGCTTTCCATTTTTATAACCTTTTTTCGCTTGGATATCTCTCTGAACTTGCCAAACCAACAGGTTAGAGACAAGTTCACAGGCTCGACCTACATTGTTGCAGAATCTCGACTGTCTGAGCTACCCAGCAAGAAGTCTAACGCAGGTTTACCAAATGGATCGGTGCAAATTGCAGACTGGAGTCCTTTTGAGTTGCTTGGAAAATTCCCTGGAGCTTCACTTGTTGGTTTAAAGTGAGCACTTCTTGTTCTATTTTTCTCCTCTGATAAAAAGAATATCTTCTGGCCTTTCAGCCTGTGGTGTGACACCCCATTTATTTGAGGGAGGTCTAGGGATCAAATCCTGGAAATTTGTTTTATCAAACGTAACCAAGTTAGTGTACCTTTTCTTTGCAGTTTTTTATTTTTTTGATGAAAAGAATATCTCCTGGCCTTTCATCCTTCGATATGACACCTCATTTGTTTCAGGGAGGTCTTGGGATTCAATCCTGGAAATTTATTTATCAACTTTAACTAAGTTAGTGTACCTTTTCTTGGAAATATTTTGCAGTGTGCTTATGCTGGGCATATTCTGTCTGGTTTGAAATATGACAGCTAAATAAATCTCAATGTTGGCCTTGTGAATGGGAAAGCTGTGCATTAGTAATATTGGTTGATTGATTTGTTGAGTTAAACAGACGTGAATTCATATTCTGATATCACTCTGTGTGTGCTTAGTTGCAAATGCCTTGCATTCTACCCTAGAGCAAGCACCTTAACGACTGCTTTGATTGTTATTCCAAGGCCAAATTTCAAGGGTTTTGATTGAAATATCCAGAATATGAAAATTTTTTATTGGTTACCAAGATAGTGGCTGGACCTATATTGCTAGGATTAGAATTTTTATTGTCTCAGCTTATATTGCATCTTGTTACTGATTGATTTACTGAAATGCCCTACTGATTCTTCTGTACTTAACATTCAGTTTCATTTTCAAAATTTTAATTTTTTTTTGGTTTTGTCCTAAAAGTTTTCATTGACAAGGCTGTCCAAAAGGATTCTAAGAAGAAAGAGTAGAAAGCAAATGAAGCTCAGGAGTAAGGGTGGCAATGGGCCTGGTGGCCTGGCCAGCCTGGCCCTAAAAAACTTGGGCCTGAGCCAGGAAATAGGGCCTGAAGGTAGGGCCCGATCGGGCCAGGGCCGAGGTCGGCCCGTTTCGATCTATCCAGGCCCTCTTTTCTTTGTGTCGTTCCTTTGTATTATTTTCATTTGGCCCAAGCCGGCCCTGATAGGGCTAGAGACCGAGACCAGGCCCAGGCCCAGGCCTTGTCAGGACCAGGTCAAACCTGGGCATGCCCTAAGGGGACTAGGGCCGGGCCAGCGCCACGGGCGGCCCGGGCCAAGCCCAGCCCGTTGTCACCCCTACTTAGGAGTCAGATCATTGGCCATTAAAATACTATTTGTAAAAATAATCAAGTTATAATTTTATAATGGTCGAACTTCTAGTGTTTTTAACTTATTGGCCTTGTATCTGTGAAATATTTGATATCTCATGTATTAAATTGCGTACTCATGCAGTTTCATATTCTGTGCTATTCAAGTTTTTTCACCTGATTGGTAGGCTAAATGAACATGTTTCAGGTATGTTCCATTGTTTGACTACTTTTCGGAGCTATCTGATGTGGCGTTCAGGGTTGTCTCTGATAATTATGTGACTGACGATAGTGGAACTGGTATTGTCCACTGTGCTCCTGCATTTGGAGAGGACGATTATCGAGTTTGCATTAACTCGAGTATAATCCATAAGGTTTTTTTTACCTTCAAAGCTGAAAGTCTTCATTTTACTCTGTGCTTACTTTTGGATATTTCTTTCGTTTAACTGATTCATTATCCTTTTGTATCTATTTAAATCTTTGAGTATGTTTTTCAGAAGCTATTTTATGATATCAATGCATATGGTGTGTGATATAACTTAGTTCATATGAAGTCTGATATAGCTTACTGGATGTATTCCATTATTAGACATTATGGAGCCATGAGATCTATTATTTTCTCTTAATAACCTAAGTTGCTGAACTTATTATTTCTTGCCATACTTAAATCTAAATCTGCATGCTAAGGAGAGTAATTGGCTTTTCCATGGGTCATGCCTAATTAGCTGGGCTAGAAATTTAGCCTGTGGGTGTTTTCTGTTGTCAGTAGAAAGTAGAGACTTGCAAAGTGTACTTCCTCAAATTTTTTTTAATTCTTTATTGAGTTTTCCTGATAACAATTGCTCTAACTTATATATCATATTATTTTATTCATCAAAAAGAATTTTGCATAACTTTTCTAACTCTACCGCTAAGGAGAGGTATGGGGTTCTCCATGGGACCAAATCCTATTCCCTTTTTTTTTTTCTTTTAATAGTATCGTGCTTCACATTTTGGCAGCCAAGGAATCTCTTGTGGAACTGTACCAGAAAGTCCAACTTTTTGTTCATCATTATAGAAAGGGAAAATATCAAGAAAAGGATTGAAAACCCTTACAATATCACTAAATGTGTCAAAAGAAAACAAATTACACTTCAGGTTAGGCCTTTAAGTTCATATATCAATCATGTAGTCTTCAAATATTTTTTTGAAAAATTCGAAATTGTCCCTATTCATTATTTGAAATGCGGAACATTCAAGGGTGTTTTTGCCATTTGGCACAGGCAAGGTATTGGTGCTATTTCCAATAATTCCCTTCATTGTTCTGCTTTAGAAAAGAACAAAAAGTTCCCACAAGGACATGGGATACTATTAAAGAAAGGAACACTGTTCCATGTTTCTAAACTAGAACAACTAGGGGCAAAAAAGTAATTTAGTTCGAACCACATAGTTACCCCCCATTGTTTGGGTATAGGAACTTAGGAAACTTTGTTTCGCCTTCCTAATGCTGAACTATTGAGGGTAATTGCGTTATTTAGCACCAATGCCTTACCCCCATGCCAAATGACAAGAATACCCTAGAATGTTCTGCATTTCAAATACTGAACAAGGGCAATTTGGGACATTTTCAACTTTTCTTTGAGGATGTACCTCATTGATATAGAAACTTAAAAACATACTTTGAATGTAATTTGTTATCTTTTGACCCCTTTAGTGATATTCTATGGGGTTTCAATCCCTTTTTTGATACTTTCCCTTATATGAATATTTGATAACATGCTAACAGGTTGGCAATGGAAACTTTTTGTATGTTGAGCCCTTGTTTGCTTTGGCATGCAATGATTTCTATGCTACATCTGTCTTGTGGTTATATAGCTAAATGTAGATGGAAACCCGGTTTGGTGTAAATGCTGGAAGAACACGATTAGCCATCCCCTTTTTTTTTGGAGAAAAGTTGACAGTTTTTAATATGGGAAAATATCTCTATAGACCCCATTTTCAACCTTCATTTTTCCATTGACCTAAGGTTGCAAAACCTATGTTACTACATAGAAATTCACTCTATAATATCTCTTGACGCCCTGAACATATTTTATTCATGTTTTACTAATTTTTTTAACTCAAACAAGTTTAAAAAAGACATTGTTTTTTAAACCCCTCTCTCTCCTCATAGGATTCCTTTCTCTCTCCCCCAATCAACCTCCCAAACCCCTCTCTCTCTCTCTATCTCCCTCACCAAATCGTCGGGAAACTACACTACCTCGGTCACCTACTCGTTGGAAAACGAAAAGAGGCGATGTTGGGCGCCAGGAAATGCTACCGGTTTCGATCTCTTCAGCCATTGTCTTGATCAACTTAGTGAGAGAAAGAACTGCCTCTAATTCGTTCCAAAAACCCATGTCTCCAATTATATTTGCAACTTCTCTGGCAAGAGGATCCTATGAGCAAAGAACCTTAAAGGAGTCGTCCATTACAGCAAGTTGCAGAGCTCGAGCAGTGGCCATGATGTCGTCTAAAGTGGGGCAAATCAGAGGGAAGTTTTCGCCAGAATACGCACCGAAAAAATGGTTTTCTGGCAAGACTCTGATCAGCCTCACTTGATCAAGCTCCTGCAACTGCAACTTCTCAAACCCCGCTCTCAATTGAGCTTTTGAGTTAAAGAAATTTGTGATTTGTATGCAATTCTCAGCTACTTTTTGAAACAAAGGTAGCTATTTGCCGAAATCCTTGATCAAGCTATTGAACCCTTGTAATTGGCAAGAAAGGTTCACCATCCAATGGTTTTCAGACTCCAAATTCCTCAAAGCTTTGGCTTTGAACCTATCAGTGACTATGCCAGCACATCTCTGAACAACTCCACCATTGCAAATTGCATTTACACTGTCCCAAAGTGTTTCCTCTGCAAAATTTGAAGGAACAGAGCTAATAGTGAAAGCTGCCTTTCTAACAAGACTAGTTCCACTAGGGAGGTTAACTGGTCAACGGGGTTTCTCTTTCTAGAGCGGTGAGAAGAGGTAGCAATTGGGGCAGAGAGAGAAGGTGGTGAGATGGGAAGAATGGTGGGGAAGCTAGAGAGAGGTTTTGGGAGATTTGCAGTGAAATTGGGGCAAGTCCCTCTCTTTGGATGCTCGGAAGCTGTTCTCGAAGGGTTAGAAGCAGAGAAGAGAGTTGCAGAGAGAGCATTGAAGCTTTACAGCTTTGGGCGCACCAGTGTCTTGGTTTGAACTAGGATGTGCTCGAGATGAGCCCAATACCAAGCTCCCTTGCCTTTAATGGCCTTTGAGCGCATAGTCGTAAGCCTTCATAGCGTTTGAGCACTCCTTTTGCAGAGACATCGTCTTCAAAACCAGGGGTGCTCACCATAAGAGAGAAAGCTTGTTTCTCACTCCTCCATGGCACTGTCTCTCATATCAGGGGACACAGTTCGAGCCCTAAGGTCGTCAGGAGCATTGTTCAACGTGAGGAGAGAGAGTTAGAAAAAAGAGTCTTTCTTAATTTGTTTAGGATAAAAGTTGGAATAAAAATAGACAAAGTTATTTGGGGGGTTAGAAGATAGGTTTTGAAAATTTGGGTTTAAGAAGAAATGAAAGTTGAAAATGGGGTCTATGGAGATATTTTCCCTTTTAATATTTATGAAGGGGAAATTTTTGGGACTGAATGACTACATATGCGGTCCAAATAGTTTAAAGCATCCATCTTAAAGATGGATGCAAGTAGATGTTACATCTAAAAACAATGGGAACTAATGGTTCAAATGTTTTCTTACTAGAATTATTATTTCTAGTTTTTAAAATTTTATTATTTTTTCATATTCATAATCTCCATGTTAGAGATTACATGGCTCTAAAAAATAAGTCAAAAAATCCATCTCAAAAATAGATTTATTAATAGGTTTGCATTTTCACATATGTGGGCTTGCCGCATAGAAACTGGGTCCTTTATGAAGTTTTGCTGAAAGAACACGATTAGCCATCCCTTTTTATTTTTTGGAGAGAAGTTGACTTTTTTTTAATATTTATGAAGTTGTACAAAATACCACGAGTGTTCGTCATTGGCAACCCACAAGGCGGGTGCTTTGACCATACCAACCAAACATGAAAGAAAAAAATGGAAGCCCCTCATTTCGGGGTTAAGAATTTGGGGCAAAAATGTAGAAACAAAAAGAGCGTATGACGACTGAGAACCCACAATGTGTGGCAGCCCACATTGTGGGTTCTCAGACTTTACATGCGAAGGAGGAGGCAAAAAAATCTTTTCAAAAAAGAGAACAAAAAAGAGAGGAGCTAAACATATTACCCCAAGAAGCCCCTTATAATCAAGGATGAGAATGTGCACAAAACGGAGCACAATGAAAGGCGTATGAGGATAGGGGAGGAAATAGAGGAATAGATCAGATGCTTACGAGTGGAGGAATGGACCCGAACAAGAGAAGGGTTAGCCAAAGGGCAGATGACGAAGGGAGAGTGTGATCGAGGGGGCTGGTGCGGAAGAGAAAAAGGAGCCAAACCCTAAGAAGGAGCCAGAGAATAATGTCCCAAGAAGCAATTTTTGTCCGGTTTCTGTGAACCCTAATGTATGGCATGTTTTGGTCATTGTACTCTAAGGATCAGAAATGTTGGCAAAGTAGATTTAATGTTGTTGTTTGTAGCTCTCTTTAATATCACAAAATAGCTGCAATGTAGTCGTTTCAGTTGTGAGATTTTTGGTGTATAGTGGCATGTCTATTGTTGATCCAAGAGAATTTGATCTATGCAAACATGCTTCCAACCATTTTGATAGGTTCTTTAGATTCTCTCGAAGCATGAGCATTTTTTTCCCTTTATTTTACTTCTTACTATTTATTTATATAATGCAACTTTTGTATGCATTTATAGTGATCCATTGAGTTGTGGTTAGCAATGGATAAATTTTTTTTTTTTAATTAATTGAAAAAGTTGTGGTTAGCAATGGATAAAAAAAAAAAATTTTAATTAACTGAAAAATTACAACTATTGAAGGATGGCTTGTTCAGTGGTGATGAATCACATGTTCTTCTTGGTACATCCTAATTAGCTACACTTTCTGTTTCGCTTTAGTTTCGCTTACTACATGATTGAAACTTAGAACATTCATACTCAATAGTAGAACTGAACTTCTAGATAAATCTCTATGGATTTGCTGTAGTTATCTAATGCTCTAATATCAAAGTTACTTCTGTAAAACCAACTTTGTTGAGATTTTGCGCTAGTGCTCCTTCTGAGATAACGATTGCCCCTTGAGATTGGAAGAGATTTGCAAAAGACCATTCTATGTCTGCGGTTAGCACATTGTTAGAAACTTTTCCATCCACTATAATGGGTCTAATGTCCTCTATCAGGAGTTCTTTCAATCTTGATTTCTCGGCCTAGCGCTGTTGGATTTTACCTATATTGAATTTTATCCTCTTGTTGAAATTTGTGATGGCATTTATTGCCCTAGTCCTTGAGGGCCCTCCTAGTAGTCATCATAGAGCATCATGTAAAACTCATTCAGGCTCAGTGTTTCAAAAAATACTGGGTAGCGCCTAGGTGGCTGGGGAGGTCTAGGCTACCCAGTGCCTAGGCGACCTAGTTCAAAAGGGGCAAGGGGTGTCTAGCAATTCTATTTTAGGAACAGATTTGGTATAAAAAACGCATAGTCATTCATTTTTTATAATCCAAATAGGAAAAATCCACCCAAACATACCCCATCCGATGGGTATTTTTGCAACTAGGTAGGCACAGTCCCTTTAGTGCCCACCTAGGTTGGGTACTAGGCGGTCGCCCGGGGGACAGCCCGCCTAGTCAGTTCGCGTAGGCCTGAGTGATGTGCCCAACCCCCCTAGACCACTAGGCGGCCCCTTAGGCGCTAGGCAGACCTCTTTTTAAATCAATGTTCAGGCCAGAGTTCTATTATCTGGATAAATTTGGGATGGGAGCCAGCCATATTAACTGTCATCAACTTCATAGCCTTTTCCCAACTATTTGGGGTTGACTACACGAATTATGGTGTACCATTATGCTCTATCAAGGGCCATACCCTCAGTGAGGCCTAAGTCGTTATATCTTTCCTTGTCCTTTTAGGCCTACTCTTTTCCCTTTTTGATCCTTCCACTTGAACCAACTTGTACCTCCTAACAGGTGTTGAACTAGGTCTGCGTTGCACATAGCCAGCCCACTAAGTTCTCCCGACTGTATTCATTTCGAATTCTATCCCTTCTTATCTTGCCGCTCATCCATCTCACCATCCTCATTTCATCTACACTCATTCTATGGTTGACCATCAACATTCTGCCCCATAATGTAAAGCTGGTCTTGCTGTTGTTCTAGAGAACTTCCTCTTCAGCTTCATTGGTATGCAGCGATCACATAAAACTTAGGTTAATTGTCATGTTGAACAATATTAGAAACTTATCCAGACTGACTTTGATATTATAATCTCTTTTCTCTGTGGGCTATTGTTCAAAATATGTTGCATGGATACAGGTACGTATGTCATTGTAGGATATGGTATGGGGTGTCCGATTCTTTGAGTCCCAAAAAGTAGGATTTGGCAACACGGTTATATATATATATATATATATATAGTAGTTAGATAAATGCAGAGTATAGAAAAAGAAATAGACAACGTCCTTCCTTTCTACTAACTTACCCTAGAAAAAAAGAAAAATACTAGTGACTAGTTAATAGTAATGACTAGTGGCTAGTATTAACTAATAACTTACTTAACTTA